TTCCCTCATCATAATCCAAAGAACTACAGCTTAGCATATGGATTGATACCAAGGATGAAAGGCCTCCACAACTGAAAAAACTCCTCACAGTTCAAACTAGAGTATAAAAACAAATGCAGGACACTTAGGACCCAAGGATGTCTTAACCAATAGATACCACATTCACTATAATACTGAGGAAACAAGTGCAATCTTTACTACCCTTCTCACACAGTTCTTCTGACTCATGCAAGCAAGAACCAGCACATCTCATGAATTTTCAGCACATTCACAACATCTGCCTCATATACCTGCCAACACTGTTTAATGACAGCTAATAATCATTTTACTTAAAAAATTCAACGGCACATCAGATGTGTCCCCACACAGAGCACTCCCCTGACACAATACAACTATACAGGTACATCTTATCCCCACAAAACACACACTCATTAACTACATCTCCCACCGTCATTCCAACAGCCTTCCTTGCTCCCACAGACACCTCAAATTTCATTCCCCTCTCCTTCCCATCTTTGCCTGTGCTTACCTGCAGCTGTGCTCCAGCATCGTGACATGGTCCCATTTTTCCCTCTGGGAGCAGGAAAGGAGGCATAATCCCACTGCCTTATTTACTCCCAGTGCTATAAGGGAACATCTTAAATGACCTCCAGGCTTGTGGGAAGAGGAAGGGGTGTTTCCCAGCCCCTCCCTGGCTCCAGGCTTTTGTAGGGTAGGGACCATGACCAGCTGCTCCACATGCTGCCCCTGACTGCAGTAATTTGGGTTTCTGTTGTTTTTCTACCTGTAACAGGGTGGCTCATCAGATGTGATTTCCTTGCAGCAGAGATGCTTTCCCTTGTGCAGTTTCAGATATCTGATAGTCAGTGGGAAGCCCACTAGAAAATTGTCTGTGTGCTCAAATTACTTACACTTACACCATGGCCATCAGTGTCTCATCTCACTTTGGTCTGCACCCTGGCTCCAACCAGGCTCCCACTTCTGATGTTTCTGGGAAGGTGCCATCGGAAGTTTGCTCACAGCCAGGTCCTCCATGTGAAACATGCCAAGCTCCGTGTCTGGCTGAAGCTCCTGCAGAAGTGCCCAGGATAGGCTTTCTTGCAAAAACGGGAGAGAAAAACTTCTCTCATGCAGCTTGAGATATTCCATAACACAGTCACTGCTGCACTCAGATAGTACGGAGGAGACTCTGCTCAGGACAGGCCATGGGCTTGGCCTTATGTCTTCCTCTACCCCAGATGAGTGACCCAAACAGTAGTAAACCAGGAGAGCTCTCTCCAGGGTGTGGGTTTTTCCTCTAAGAGAAAAAGCCAAACCATTCCTTTGTCATACTGTTTCGGTGTACTCTGTGAGGCCAGGAACCAGCAGGTGATGCTCTTGGGAAGGCCATGGCTGCCAGGGTACCAGCATACACTGGAGAGGGGACTTTATCCTGTGTGACAGTGGACCGGAGAGGAGAGAAAGGACAAAACCCCCTCCTTTGTCTCTCCCTTTACAGTGTTGTCCTACAGATAACACATCCCCTTCGTGTTCAATGGGTTAAACTGTTGAAAACAGAAAGCCTTCCATATTTACTGGTGTATTCTAAAAATACCCCAATTCTGCTGACAGCAAAAGCAAACACAGGTTCCCAGAGGCTTTCTTCCCTTGCTGAAAATGGCACGCCAGTGCCCCGGCTGGGGCCCACCGCCCCAAATGAGATGAGATGAGATGACTTGAAAGAGCAAGCTCGGCTTCCCATCCCCTCCCAGCCTCGTTGCACATGGTGCCGGCACCCTCCGTCCCACAGCCGCTCCAGAAGGGCAAACCTCAGCTCCCACCCATCCCTCTGCCCAGCCCCTGATACTTGCTGGCTCCGGGTGCCAGGTGGGCCGTATGGCTCAGCCAGGTGATTGCAATGGGCCCTGATGCCCCATGAGGCTGAACCAACAGACTCGTTAGGTAGCGTAGGACATCTTCTCTCCACCACCTCCCCTCTTTCCCCAAAGAGGCTGTATTAATTCATGATTTAGAATCCCAGATTTTACTGTGTTTTGGGTATTTTTCATTGGAAATATATAAGAAATGCTTGATATGATTTACTTATTTCATGTTATGCTGGCATAGCTGTAGGGGCTTTTAGTTTACATCTGCTTGCAAAGTTAGCAGTTTGTGTTTGCTGGTTACACTCACAGCCTGAGACCTTTTTGGGCAGCTGATTTATTTGGCCAACATCATCCCAGCTGCAGTTTGCATACCAAGTTTATGATTTCTAGGCTATAGGTATTCAAGTGTCTGAATGCTTGGTCAGGAAGGGAAATGGTTTGGTGCCCCAGCTCTGATGCAGCCAGGCGGTATCAGCAGATACAGCTTGCTTGCCTTCCTCCTCCTCCTCACCACCTCTCTGCTTCCAGATGCAAATGCTTCCATATTCAGCAATGTGTAGCTACGATGGCTTCTTAAGGGGAAAACATCTACCTTGGCAAATGCATTTAAGACTTTCTTCTGCTTCATATTTTAAAGCATATGTGGACTTGAGGAAAACTACTTCCATTTTATGTCTGCTGGCATGTCTCAAGTCTTGTATTTAAAAATGCCAACAACCTCCCAAAGATTAGCTTATCATAATTGATAAAGAAAATGCACTGGCATTGGAAAATGAATTGGCTCCCGTGAGTAGGAAAGTGGCCTGAATCAGAAGCCAAGGTTCATGAGATTTTAATCCTAGTTTCTGTATCAATTCCCTGTCCAGAGAGGGACACTTTGCTTTTTTTGCTTTATTCCTTTCTGAATGGACTAGACATTAGCTTAGTCACTGTGGTGTTTATGGGATTAATTAGCTAATTCAGCACCTCACTCTAATGATGTAAAAATCTTAAAAGCTTCACTGGAAGGATTTGAAGCTGTATCTTAAGAATTATTGCTCATTTATGACCTTTTTTGTAATACATCTTGGAAGAGTTAAAGGTAAGGCGAGAGGGGAAGATTTTCATTTTCGTTTTAAAAAGAGACATGCATTTCCATTTGGCAAGATTTTGCATCCTGATGGGAAAACGTAAACACCCAGTCTCTGATCTTGCCTCAATCCATATTTAATCTCGGAGAGTGCTGTGGTGTAACTTTGCAGACAACAGTTTCAGGAAGCATGAGGGAACATTCCAGGCTTCCTTCTGCTTTGGAGAAACTATAAAGGAAAAAAAAGGTAGGTGCAGCAGGACAGAGATCTCACGTAATCCCACATGGAGGACACAAAAGACGTGGAAGACAAAGCTACAGAGCAAAAGACAGCCTTTCTTTTAACAAGCAATGGGGAGACTTATACAACATCCTTTGGGATTAAAATGATTTCCCCTTTTCCTCTGTGCAGCCCCTTTTGTTTCGGTGGATAAGGGGGTGAAACCCTGCCTGTGAAAGCCGAGCAGTCAGAGGAAGAAGCCTGGGGGGGTGGGATTTCTCACATGGGAGAAGACACTGCCCCTCTCCCTGCCGCAGGTCTGCCTCCCACCGCCCCAGCAGCGCTCACCCACTCCCCTCCGCTGCGGTACTGCTCCGCGGCTGCTCCGTGCCCGGCTTCGGCATGCAGCAAAGGGAGCGGGTGGGAGTAAGAAATCAGTTCGAGCCAGCGGCAGGAAGACAAGTGGGGTTTTAGGAGCTGGTGGAGTGTTAGGAAGATGCTGAAGTTGAAGCCTGCAGGGGATGGTGAGATTAAAAATAGGCTGTAGCCATCCTTCCCCAGCATTTCAACATCTTAACTGCCTGTTTTCCTTGTGACCCACTGAAGAAGAGGCAGCAATGGAAGAGATGATCTCTTCCACCATCCTGGCAGTGCAGGACGAAATGGTATTTTTTTCCTAACCAGATCTTTCTGCTCTCTCTGTCTGCTGAGGTCTTCTGGAAGGGTGTAAACTGAGTGTTTCCTCCCCATCTTCAGTCAAACCAAGGGACTGCCTTCTTCCCCTGAGTTCAACAAGTCACTTGTGTGCATTGAAGATCAGCTCATTCATTCACATCTTACCAGGCGTTTGCAGGCTTCCATCCTTTGATAGGAAAAAGGGCAATTTTTGTAGAAACCACTGGACATCATGCTGCAGGATTTTTAATTCAAGACGTTCATTAAAGAAAGCATTTCACAGAACTATGTTATCAAGTACAATCCACATTACACCTTTGTACCTACCTTAGCAATGCTGTATTTATATAAAAAAACCCCAAAGACAACTCATAATGATAAGAGGTGTTGAAATGCTTACTTAAATCAAGTGACTGAACCTCCTGGCCAACAGCTCATGCATTATACGGGTCAGAAACAGTTTCTTCTGCTCTTTGCCCATGCTGTCTATTTCTGCAGGTTGGTTGTGGGACAGACAAGGCTTCCCCAAGCTGCGGGTTTCAGCTAGCCATGGGTCCAGGATATCAGCTGCAGATAAATGATCAGGCTTGTCTAATGTGGTAAATTCAGGAAGAATCTTTGTAAAGGCTGCTGTGGTGTAGTTTTTTTTTTTCCCTCAGCTTTAACTTTCATACATCAACAAGATCCTTCATCTGAATGTTTTAGGAAATCTGAAGGGTGTTTGCAAGTTTTGTAAGCTGGTCTCAAGCAGAGCCAAGGGCTGCAACATCAGGTCGCCTGGCTCCAGCACTGGTTTAGTTGCTTCTGCTTTGTTAAAACATGCTCTCAGGTAACAACTTGTGACTGGAGAAAGCATTGTGCAAAGATGCAGTGCCACATTAGCACCCTTTTTTTTTTGGTATGCTCTTTCTAGAGCAGTATTTGTGGATAGTAACAGACTGCCAGACCCATACAGCTTTCTAGAGCCAGTCCTGCTCTAACTCTGGGTGCAATTTTCCCTTTTAGAGCTTCTGTGTAGTAAATGTTCTCCCCAAGAGAGAGCCACCAGGCAGAAAAAAGGTAGACTGGTATTTCCACAGACACACAGCACTTCCTTGTAAACTGCCTACAGTGCATAAGTGGTTACTGTTAGGTGGGGGGGAAGGAGCCAAAACCCAAAGAGTGTTTTTTCTGTCCTGGTTTTCAATTATACGTATTGGTGTAATTCAATGGGAGACAGTAGTGTGTTCAAGTGAGATATGGCTGTGCCTCCATTTGTCCTCCTGTAACGTGTTTCCAGCTGTTCAGCACTGCAGTGGGAGCACAAGAAGTGGGATGCTATGAGAAGTGGGTCTAAGGGAAGGAATTTGGCATGAAGCCGTGGCTTTCACTGGGCGCTTTGTTGCTGCTCTCTCCCTAGGAACGTTTGTATCTGCTTTTACCGTGCTGTGCGGAGCCCGGACCGACCTCCCTGATAGGCATATGTGTTGTGTCTTCTGGCTGAACATTGCTGCTGCTCTGATTCAGATCCTGACTGCAATCGTGATGGTTGGCTGGATTATGAGTATATTTTGGGGGATGGACATGGTCATTCTCGCAAGTAAGTACAGTGCACTCACCCTCCTCAATTCCCTCTGTGGCCATGTTGCTGGGTTCCAGCTCATGTCCCTGCAAGCCATCGGACTGCACTGTAGGGAAGAAGAGCCACAGGATGAGCTCTGCAAGTCCATGAGAAACACAGTAGACAGAAGAATTGCTAGGAGGCATTTGGGATGGGCCCCATGACACATCTGGAAGAGCCTCCCATCCCACCATGTAGGTTAGGATCTTCCTTTCCCCTTTATAAAATGAAAAGTGCAGGAAGGGGTGAGGACCCCCAGCACTGTGAACTCTGCTGTCTGGAGCCCCTTCTGCCCTGGTCCCATCCGCAGAACGAGAAAGCCCTTTCTCCCTCACGACTCCGGCTGCACCTCCCTGGTTCATGAGACCTTCCTGTGAGGCTGGTTCCACTTCCAGGGAGCACGCAGGGCCAACTGTCCCCCGAAAAGCCCTGGGGACTCTCCTGGACCCACCCCTTGCTCCACAGAATACATTTAGCCAAGGGCTTTTTTTCATGTTTCACATCAAGTTCTTAAGCTGAGCAGGACTGTTTAGCTGCTCCTAGAAGGACTTCCCCACACCCTTTAAGGAGCCTCCAAAACATTAGTCTAGGGGAAGAAGAGAGGAATCCTTTTTTAAACATCATTTAGGTCACCCAGTTAGTATATATTACCAGTCTAGAATACAGGCTCTGTAACTTTATCTGCTAAAGACTTTTACTGGTGTAAAAGTTGTACCATATCGGTATCATATCACCTGTATCATATTGCAGAGAATTAAGGTGACAGCCTCACCGCACCTCCAAAGCCAGAAGCAGCCCACAACTCAGGGTGCTGATTGAGTCTGCAAGGCCCCCCTCCCTTTCCAGAGGCTGGCAGAGGCTGGTGGGAATTGCCCCAAACCAAACAGGTCTGAGATCCTTCAGGCTGGCAGGGCAGGCAGTTCCCAAAGCAAACGCTTCTCCTAGAGAACATCTTACCAGCAGTTTTTGCTTTTTGGTTTGAAGGAGCTCCTTCAACTTTGTCATCTCTGCTGATGACATCTGTGGCGGCATGACAGAGGAGGAGAGAGGATCTCAGGAAATTGCCAGGCACCTGCCTAAAGATGAAACGGATGAAACTGGAAAAAACCAGCAGGAAACCGGTGCACATCTTCAGCTGCCAAACCCAGGGGTTAAACCCTCTCACCAAACCACCTCTAATTTCGGAGCCAGCTTCAATTTACAGGCTGAGTTAAGGGCAAGCCCCATGCAGAGCAAACGATGGGTATTAAAAACCTGAACATAACCAAGGCAAAAGGCTTTCCTCAGGACAAAGGCGGCACTGCCCTTCATTTTTCCCTGCAAACCACCTGCCAAGCTTTCTCTCAGATGTACCCGCAGAGCAGGGGTAGCCCAAGTTATTTCTGAGGATAAATTGTGAATCGGTGTACATCTGTGATATGTCTTTAAGAACCTGCCCAATTTCTGTGTAATCCCATAATTACGTGTTCATAACCATACACTCTTCTGCTATTCCTCTGCTGGACAGCCTCCATGCACGGCATGCTGCCTGGCAGACCCAGTTCTGCAGTTGTGGGGAGAGGCAGGAAAGCATCCATCCAGCTAGAGAGCTACAGCTGAAACCATTACTTGCTTTTCTCCATAGTCCTGTTCGTGTATGTCCTCCGGGTAGAGGGGCTGGGTCTCAGGAGGGTCTTGCTCGTTTTCCAGTTTGGTTGCTGGAGAAAAAACATACAGCTTGGAAGTATCTCCCCAAAGCTGTTTCCCGTGCCTGGCTGGACCCCACCAGTTTGGGAGGCAGAGGGTGGGTGAGCAGCGCGTGGTGGGGATGCTCAGGCCAAGAGGTCCCCGACCACAGCAACAGCATCTCATCCCAGCCGCTTTGGTGGCAGTAGAGAAGGGTAAGAGGAGTCAACATGTCTTATGTTAACCAGCTGTATATAATCTGACAAGCTGCAGCCCTTGGCAGTTTCTTGCTGTTTCATTAAATAGCTGGGTTTTAAGTTTACTTACAATGCAGAGAAAATAATGGCTAAATAAAGCAGCTCTTGGTTGATGGAGAATAAAAGAAAAAACTCATCTTTCAATCAAAACAAAGAACAGAAGTGATCAATTGCTCCCAGCTGGATCAAACAGCCCTGTCAGACCCAAAATGGTTTGTTTTTTCATGTTTTGTTTTCATGTTAAAAAAAAAGTAATAACTTAAAAATGAAACAACATTTCAAATGCAAGAAATAAGACATTTCATTTAAAAACACTGCCAGGAAACATTTTGCTTTGGTTTGGGTTTGTTTGTGTGCAAACAGAAACGATTTGATGCACTGGACAGAAACTGTACACTGTTGCAACTCAAATCTCTATTTAGATGGAGAACAGTTAAAAAATGCTAAACCACTGCCCACCTCTAGTCTTCCTCGCCATGAAATGGCTGTTTCCGTGCTTCCCTGCAAGGGTGCCGTACGATTTTCATGGGCTAAAGGCAGGGCAGAGCAGGCAGTGTCTAAGCTGAGGGGGGCCAGCAGTGAGGAGAAGGGTGGGAAGCAGCCGGGCCTGTGGGACTCCGCTCCGGCTTTCCCTGAGGGATGAGTGCCTCGCTCCCTGGATCAGGGCCTGCCTGTGTATGAGCTGGTAGAGAGCTGGGTGCGAGTTAGGGAGGCTCATTGCAGTTTTTCACCTTCTAGTGCTAATTCTCAGCCATTAAAGGGGAGCCCTGCAGGAGCCTGCTCTGAGGGGAGAGCTTTGGGGATAATGTCATACTGTCTTCAATGAGGGGAAAAGGAGAAGAATTATAGGCCAGCCAGGTACACTTCAATTCCTGGAAGAAGTAATCAAACAAGTTACTTGCATGCATTTAGAAAATAAAAAGAAACAAAGCAAGCCAACCTGGGTTTGTCCAGAGCAAGCTGTGTCAGATTGGCTTGATTCCCTTCTGTGGCAGAGGAATTCATTTTGTGAGTGGCGGCGGCAGTCAGCCATCCCTCCTGACGTTCAGGCGCTGACACCGTCTCACACAGTGTTCCTACCAGCAAGCCAGGGAGACGTGGCCTGGGTGAAAACGCACTTGAGAACTGTTCTCTAAATGCATTTTCCTGATCTGGAAAGATCTCAGGAGAGGTGTTTTGAAAGGTCCCTCCTGAATCCAGCTCTGTTCAGTATTTTCATTCATGGCTTCATGACGGACCGGAGAAGGGGCTTACCAGCCCCGCACCACCGGCGGCTGCAAGGATGGCAGGCATAGCGAGGGCAGCATCCAGATTCAAGCAAATTGAAGAAACGGTCTGAAAAAATAAATAAATGCTGCTCAGTCGAGACAAGTCCAAGACACTAAGGAAGGATTAATTAACTGCATAAATACACGCTAGCAAACAACTTGTTTTTCAGAGAAGGAGGTGGTGGCTGCAATGAGTCACAAGCTGCACAGGAGTACATTGCTGTGGAGGGAACAAACACCGCCCAGGCAGGTAGGAGCAGAGCCTGTAGGACATAAACTGGTCCCCTCACCTTTCTCGGCACATGTAAAGCTGTGGCGAGGCTTGTGGCCAGCTTTGGAGGCTGTACTTCATGTGGACAACCTGGAGAGAGTCCAGAGGACCATGAGACAGGAAGTTCAGCAGGCTAGTAAACGTGAGAGGGCAGCAGTTTAGCCTAAGACAGACTTAAATAACATCAGGAAAGATCTGTGTGGAAATTAGGACATGTTTTCCCTCCAGTAAGGTCAAAGTGCTGAAGAGGTGTCATGGCAGGATCTGCCCTCTCTGTCACTGGAGGACTCCAGGAGCGGGTAGACCCATGTCTGTCAGGAGCAAGGTGGGACCCAGGCAGAGACCGACTGACCTCGAGGGGTCCCATCCAGCCCTCATCTCCTGTAAAGTGCCCTTTAGTGGGATGACTCCCAGAAAGAAGATTAATTGAATGCAGTTTTACTGTCATACTTAATTATTTTGGCAGCACAATGGCATGGGGCATTTTCTCTACTATTTTAAATGAATTGCCAGCTGGCCCCATTAAACACCACAGATATTTTCTTTAAGCAGCCATATGGCTTTGGGAACCGTCCTTTGGTTTACCTGCTGCCTGAAGGCAAAGGCAAATTAAAAGCTTGCACTTAATTCTTTTGCAAAAAAAAAAAATAATCTGGACTCTCCCCTTGCCGCTGCAAATATCCAGCCGCCCTTGGTGGTGGCTGGGCAGCGCTACCACACCGTGCTCTCCTCGAACCCCTTGTCACAGCTGTGGGGACAAGGCACGGAGCTGAGGCAAAACAGAGCTAATTAGCTGGCCAAGGCCAACTGGAAAACGAGCCTCCTAAGGCTTTCTGGGCAAGTTTCCCTCTGCTAAGTGCACACCTTGTCTCCAGCCCACACAGCACACGTCTTCATTAGCTGCATTGTGCAGAATGAAGGCAGAGGAACGGCCTTTCCAGGAACTCCCTAGCTGCTCAGAGCTCGTTATAAATGGTTTTGTGCCATTTCTTGACAGAAATACCACAGAAATCAATACAGTAATGTCACACTGAGGTGGCATAGGGGACAGAAGTCAGGGACTGTTTGTCCAGGCTTTGTTTCTCCTCTAATGAATGCAGCCAAGAAGTCAAGCCTGGTTTCTGAAGGAAGCCCTCGCTCTGGCCTCTGAATTAACGACTTGCGTGGCTGCGCCTATGAACGAGCAAAGGCGCCATCGCTTGTGCTTTCACAGGACGGGGACTCCTGCCGCAGCTCCTGCTTCTGCAGTGGGCAGCTGACTCTGAGGGATGGATTGCCAGCCAGTAGGAAGAAATAACCTGTAATCATGCTGTCCACTTGTCACTCCTTTGCTAATTACAGCTCTCAGACCTTGCCAGAAGCAACAGCAGATGATCACATGGTTACTGTATGCTTGGGCTCCGAGGGACTTCGGAAAGTATCACTGAGCCTTTCTTCTCTGCAGGGCCCCTCCTAGGGCAGGTAACGCAGCTGCCCTGGGAAGGAAAGGGAGCAGAAAGCGCTTGGGAGACTCAAAAGAGAACAACATCCTAAAACAGCTGGTAACCCTTCATGAGATGAAGGACATTCTGAGGACAAATTGCCCGCTTAGACCTATTATGGGTTTTTTTTAAATCTAAATAGAGCCGTCCCCCAAACTATGCCTGAGGAAAGTAGTTAAAATACCCTTTTTTGCAGTTTCCTGCCAAATGCTGCGGTAGGATAAGTTCTTAAAATATTGTAGGAATGTTAAATACCACCAGGGTTTGCAGCATTCAGCCGGGCTGAGGCATGCTGCGGTTGTGAGTTATCTGTGGGCACAAGCAAACTCAGCAGCAAAACTGACAAAAAGCCATCAGGTGTAGTTTTCCCAGCTCTCGGACCGTGAACGGCGTGCCATGCGCCGTCCGATGCGCTGTGACGTCTTGTTTGCCGCCTTCTTTCAGCGGTTCCCCTTCAGTCAAACCTGTGAAATAGCAATGTCATGGAGGAAAGCGTTTGTGGGAGCATTGCTCAGAGGTGTTAGTCCATCCAGCCTGTCCAGCTCGAGGCCAGTGAGCTGGAAAGCAGATGAGGATTCCCCCATCCTCTTTAAACCAGACCCCCAAATGAAATGATCCACTTCAAGTACATGGATTTTGAATAATGTTTAGCCCTGGTGTGAATGTCTGATGGTAGAGCAGCTGTTCTCTGTTTACTCTGCAGCCCAAATTTATTCGTTCTTTTCTGGTTCTCCATGTGTTTTGGATATATCGTCTACAGTTACATTTCTCCCTCTCTCTTTCTTTCATGTTCCTTTGCCTCCTTTTGTTCACCATCAAAGTTTCACAAGGTAAGTTTGTTTCTGTTCTTCCTTCTCCTCCTCCTCCTCACACCCCGTGGCAGTTCCCCACGGAGAACAGTGAGCGCTCTGCCAGGGCAAGCCGTTTGGGATTCGCTTTGGCCGGCGCTGCCTGCTCCCAGCCCAAGTCCAGCCGTGTGCCTGTATGTGCGTGTGTCTGCCTGTCTCTGTGTCTGTCCTGTGGCTGCACAGCCCTGGGGACGTGTTCTCCACCCAGCATTGAAATGGCCCCTCGGGCTACCCCAAGGGCACCCTCAGAGCAGGGCAGGGACCCCTTTCAGCCTCGAGAACATCCTGAGACCACCCTCTGCATGAACCCAGTCCCAGTAGGACAGGCTCTGCACGGACTGGTTTCTTTTTGCCTGAATCTTACTTGCAGTGGTTTACAGAAGAAGTGCAATTTCAAGCAAACTTGATTAAATCAGTGATTTTGTGCGCAGATACTCGGACCAACTTAACCTTGATCCCAGAAATGCACCTTAACTGTATTGCAGGCATACTAACGTGAAGCTGCTTCATACAGAATAGCTATTCCTATGCAAGAAATGCAATAATTATTTCCATATATAAACTATTTAATAAGTTAAGTCTGAAGTATTTTAATAAATAAGTTTAGCATAGGACAGGTCATCTTTTGACTTACTTTGGTCATGTAAAGAGAGATACAGGCTCGGCCACTGTAACTGGCTTCCAGCCAGCTTCAAAACTGATAGCGGGACTGAAAGGATTTCTGTTATATCTTAACAAAAGGCGTGGCTATGCAAGCAAGTTACTGTAAGCATAACCTAGCTTGCTTACTTTAGCTAAGGATTTATGGCATGCGCCAACCCTCTGGTCCATGTGGTTGGTTGGTTTTTTTTTTTTACTGTGCTCCCTAAACAAATTAAAGCCCATATTACAGGTTTCCAACCAGCTCAACTTGCCTTCAGAGCTGACTCACACTTAGAACATAAATGCGTAAGAAATCATCATTTTTCCCCCTAGAAAAAGCTGTTTGAAAGAAGTGAGAGTCTTTCTGTTCAGCTGCACACGATGGGCAGCAATGCAGTGCAATGTAATATATGCTGATAAGTGTCATTAATTTCCTCCTCTATTCCTTGTGCTCGTTTAGCAGCAGGAGATCCAGACTGCCAAGGCTGGGTGAATGTGTGGATTTTTCCGAAGTACAGCAAAGTTCATTTGCTGGGGCCAATTCTTAGTTCAGCAAAAAGTCCCTTAAAGGCAGGGGTTGTGGCACCTGCTGGTATTTTGTGTTCAGCTTTTTTAAGGGACTTACAAAAGCCTGGCATAAGGGTTGGAAAGAAATATTAAAAAGCATCAATTGAAAAGTGTTTGAAGAGTTAAGCATTATTCCAAGATGTGAAATTTCAGACTCCTTTGAAATTCAAAATATAAAAATGACAGGCTACTTACATTATTTAAACAAAGAAAAAAAACCTGCAGATTTTTTAAAGTTTTCTAGTTGAAAGATCTTCACTATTGCAGGCGGTGCAGGTAAGGACAGTTTGCTTCTTTAAAAAGGAGATCTTCTGCATTGATACTATCGTAATAACAATCCCAGCTTTTCTTAAAAAGGAAGTGGGTAAAGCTTCTGGTGCAGTCATTGCAACCACTAGGAAAGTGTGAGCCAACACAGAGCTCCCCCTCTGAGGGCTTTGCTGCCTTGGTCGGGAGGTGCATTAGACCCGATGGCCGGGGGAAGAGGAGAAGGGGTGGAGGAGGAGGGATCCGGGCAGTTTCCCAGTGCAATTGGTTTTGCTGCTGGAAAGCTCTGTTTTCTCTAGTCCCGCCAGATGGCTGATGTGCCCCAACAAAAGCATCTGTAATTCTGCTGGGCTGGAGCAAAGCAAGTGCCTAACAAGGCAGTGAGAATATAATTAGAGAAAGGGCCCACAGAAGCATCCCGAGGTCTGCGTTTGAACTCTGACACGTCAACCTGTGATTAAAGGCATCCCCCTTCTCCTCCAAGAGATGTCTGTTCACCTCTGCAAACCGCAGTGCAAATTGTTTGCTGCTGGAGAGCTCGGTTAGCAAAAGCCAGCACAGGAAATAAAAGGTAGATAGAGGAAACCAGCCTCCTCCCACCTGGCAGTCCTCTGGAAGGACGAGGTTCAGAGGTAGATTGCAAGTAGAGATGCGAGCGTGTTGGATGCACGACCAGCAAGCTGCCAGGTCAACGCCTGGGAACAGTGGAGTCTCTGGAGCAGTACATAAAGGCATACATTTCCCCTACACTGCAGAAAAACACACTCTGATACAGAATAATTTAGGCAGAAAATACAGCATTTCCATAAAGGTTTTAGGTTATTGGGCTATACTGGAATTGCTGGCCGCCGGTACCTACTGTACCTTTATAACCTCTTCAAGCAGACGTGCCTCTGCCCACGCCAGGACCGGTGGTAGGCAGGCACTGCAGCGGCCAGGCT